AAATTAAAATAATAAATTATGGAACATTTTGTGCAAGTTAAGTGTAATTGCAATGTGAGTCATCAAATTTCGTTGCAATTTTCAAGCGGAAAAAACAATTTAAAACTGGCAATTATTGTTAACATCACTTTCATTTCTAATTCATTTTTTGTGTTCCGCGTTACTTATTCTCGAATATTTCAATAACAAGAAAGAGTCACCAATTAAAGAAGTGTAGTTTGCATACACAACTGAAATTTTAATATTTTTCCTTGGTTTTCCGCGGGAAAAAGAAGAAAAATGATGCTCGCTTACAAACTTACTTCTCAAATCTGAAGAACGTCGATGGTATTTCACAATCAGTTTCTGAAGAATCTTCCTCTTCCTCTCAGTCTTCATTTACTTTTTCGTATATACGGAGTAATATATGTAGTAGTAAAGAGAAATTCATTAATGCTGCTGAAAATCGAATTGAGATAATAACGGAAATACATGTTTTGATGTCCCCCGTTACAGAAAAAGATTTTTTTCTTCAAAACGTCCTTTCGTCTGTCCATCCGGTAGTCATGTCCGTCCATCAATCCGTTCGCTGTGAGCAACACTAACGCTTATACTCTTCGTAGGATATTTCCCTCAAAATAAATATTCCCCGGTCGATCAGACCGTACTCAAAGTCCTACAATTTTGAAAAAACTTCTTAAAATTTTGTGGATACTTCATTTGAACTCTGGTACATTTCAACTTTTATCAAAATGAAAGCACCAAATTTATTCTTTAAATTTAGTTATTTCATTGCTTTGAAGCCGGTTACAGCCTGGTTGATAATTCTTGGGGCCAATTACTCTGATCAATTTTGAATCTCGGACGCGAAGAGTAGTAACTACATTTCCAGTGATTTTTAGGATTTGGTATAAAAAAAATTATAAGGAAAAAAATTATTTCCAAGTATTCAATTGAAGAATTCCAAGAATCCAATTCAGGCTTGAAATAAGAAGGCGTAATTTTCATGTTATAACTTAGAGAGCAGATTATATAGAGCTATATTATAACTAGAAGAGCAATTTTCCTTTCCTCCTTTAGAGTTACGACTCTTGACATCTGCGGTACAGATTTATTTCCATTGTTTCTTCTAATCAATTTACAAACGGATACCGGAGCACTATCCTAAACAACGCTCCATGAATTCCGTGCAATTCTTCATCCGTATCCTGTCATCATGCCCATTCTTAGGGGAAAACAATGAAAACGATGGGCTGATCAGCGATAATCGTGCAGGACATCCCCAGTGATCTTGAAAATTTCAGACAAGCGTCGAAAATCTCGGAGGCTACGACCATTTCCTAGTCCCCCGAGATATTATATGCCTTGAGCTATGTTAAAATGTTCTTGATTCTTATGTTATAATTAAGATCATTAATATTTGTGAGATAGTACATTCAAAGAAGTCTTTAAAATATTAAACATAAGTAAAAGAGAAGCGGTATGGTAATTTTTGTATGTCAAGTTTGTTTGTAAGTACTGTCATAAATTTATTGCAGTATCATTATAATTGCTTGGTAAATTTTGATTTAAAACCCTTTAATAAGAGAAAATAAGTATGTCAAAGGTTCTAAAAGTAATTATGTTACTTTTAAGTTTGTGAAATAAAAGAGTAGCTGACAGCCAATAAGATTCTCGTATTGAAAGAATAATGAACAATCTGTATCTTAAATTTAATGGATTTTGTTATACTTACGATATTATTGTGGAAAAATATCTTGCCACCAAGTTTACCTTAAATGCCAACATATTTGGGTTGTGGTAATTTTTAGCATTTGTAAATTAAGTTAAAATATTTGGTAGTAAAATTTAAGAAGCGTTTTAAAAAAGTATTGTGTATTGTATTTAATAATTTTTCCATTCACTAAAGAAATAAAGTTACAGTCTAGCATTAAAAAAATAGTTAAAATGTCTCCTAGTAGTACATCAAACATGTTTTTGATTTTATTTTAAATGAAGACAGACATTTTTTCTATTTTTTTACATTGATGCCAGAAGAAGACTAAAATATGCCTAAGGATTTCAGTACCAATAGAAAACATTTTCATGTGACCAATAATTCTCACAGCTCACTGAAAATTAGTAAATTATTACTTGGTAGCAATTGTTTCCTAATAATTAGGTACGAAGGTATTGATAATAAACGTTTTACTATTTACTTGGTGTGAATTTTTTTTAGACCTATTCACGTTGAAAAGTTTTAGGACCTGTTTATCTTTAACTTACCTTTACTTTTTACCTTTACCAATCAGCTTCTGTTCCTCCTTTAGTATCAACGTACATCCCCAGTGGGCGTTGGGGATATTTAGTCTTTCTACCCACGCAGATGAAGGATTTCCGTGTCCACGCGAGCTGTGTGCAACTTATGTTTGGTTGCGATCGAAACTGAACGCCGGAAAAAAATTGCGAGTCGCAGTTTCATACCTTGAACCCAGATTTGAACAATTGTTGATGAAGAAACAAGCTCATTCTTCCCATTAATTTTTAGAACAATTTTGTCGTTAAAATAGAAGTTGGGTAAATGTGTTATTTATTTTAATATCTAATTGAAATGGAGAAATAAAATAGCCTATTCTATCACTTATTCTTTTGTGTTGAATCTTTACTAGGCTTATGTTAACTCCATATACTTGAAATGTATTGTTTCCAGGGGAGCCGCGGAAAGTTTCGTATAGATCAAGAGAGCCGTGGGGGTCAAGGAAGACGAAAAGTTTGAAAACCCCTGACTTAGGCATCACAACGTGCTTAAGCCTATTTTATGTATGAGGAATCGTCTGCCCCAGTGTGTACAGTCTCTCTCTGCGAGTATGGACAAGTAATTAGACAGCCTGAACTTACCAACCTAACCATATTAGCTCTGCCGTCGCTAATAAATGCAAAACAGAGTGCAATTTACATCGGTAGAATCTCATAACACTTGAGAATTGAAATTCACTTAATTTGATAATAGTTTCTGTTTATTTACTTGTAGAACATTTTACACCTATGAATTCTTGCATTTTTGTAAACTGCGTGATTAGTAATAGATTTTTTCTCATTTTTCTTGAAAAAAATTTCGACTATGTCTCGCCTCTTTATTTGCACACACACATAAACATATACACATACACACACACACATATATACAATAATATGCACACTCAATTATATATTAATTAAGAACAATATTATAATATATTTTATATTAAATGATTTTAAAGTCTGAGTGCAAAATTTTAGCAGTTAAAATTTGCAGGAAACGAATCAACACTGTTCACCTCTCTAGAGCAATTTAGATTATTTTTCTGCAGAAACAAGGCTGAAGAGTGATAGTTTTACGAGTAGAAATTTTAATATTTTCAAAATACTTAGAAAACGTAATTAAAATTATGAACATACTATGAATAATTGTGGCGTTTATCTGTTATATGTTTTCCACATCTATTGTTAGGCAGTCCTCTTAATTCATCGGATACACTCGAGACTCTTGTAAAACAAGTAGAAAAAAGTGTATGCATACTTCAGAACAATTCTACGGACAGCATAAATAAGCACATACAAGTAGTTCTTGTAAGGTTCTTCGCAGAACGTAGAAATGTAGGAAAAAAAGTAAGAGGTGTCAACGCTTTACCCAAGTGCACTTACACAATCTGAGAAAAGATACTTCTCACACCACTTGAGCTATGTGTTTTTCACGTCAAGAATATTCCAGGCAGTCTTATATAGTATAAGACAAAAAACTGGCGTATGTGCATGTTTATTTCCACCGTACGTTTATAAAAAATTACATTTTTCAATCACGCGCTAATCTGGAGGCATATGACCTCGCTAGCCCTCTCGCCTCTATTCCAACGCATCATGTGCAATGCTTCACCATCTGAACGAGTCCGTTCACAAATTTAAAACTAACCCCAGATTTTACATAGAAGACAAATATTGAGCTGCGATTGGTGCGATTGGTGATACACACTTTTCACATCGATCCGTATAATTGATTTATTTAGAAAGTTCGACCCCGAACGAGACTGATCTGTAAACTGTTGATATCAACTTATGATTACAATATTATTATGCATCAAGAATGTAAGGTCGCATTCACTTACAATTAAAAGAGCTAAATATGACAATCTGGTTAATATTTGCTCGGGAATTTCGCCTGTGGAGAAACAAGATGGTGTAAGTGATAACTTCACAGTTTCAAGTCTCACTTTTAACGGGTACAATTCCTAAGTATACATAATTTTTATGCTATTATTGTACACCTTAAGTTATCTTATCGTTTTACATAAAAAATCTTGGAAATTATACATTGCAAGAAATCAAGATTACTTTCTGTAAATCGCGAAGACCGAAAGTCAGAGTCGGGACGCGAAGCTGGAATGCGTTGCGTCAACTGGACCTCAAACTTAATTAAGTATAAAAAATACGTTGTAAAAAACGTGGAATCGCTTTGCACATGGGCTATCCTTTAGAGCAATTATGTCAACCACATAGTATAAATAAACCATTGTATGAAGCGCTGTGTACGATTACGAGAATCCCAACACCTGTAACCAGAAGTATTCGGTTACACTGAACTATTATTTACGACTAATGTAAACATACATTTGTTGTAAACAGTCCAATTTTCATAGATACAACACACTGTATTAACGAAAAAGACTAAATTTATTTGACTCCTACGTGAAATCTAGCGTAGGTTTTAGATAACTCCGAGTCAGAAGAAGGGATGCGGATTCGCCAACAAATCATCGTTTCTAAACGTCGATGCTCAAATTTAAAGTATCGATGTTAATACATCAACCCAAAATTATCTATATTTCTAAACATCAATGCTCAAAATTAAAATATCGATTTTATAGAACATTGACCCCAAATCGTCGAAATTTTTAAACATCAAGGTTTTTAAAACAGTATTAGTAACCATTGGAGTTCACAGGGGGGGGGGTAATTTGAAAGTGATTGATGTTTATTGACATTTTAATTGAGATTTAACTAACAAAACAAAGTCAAAATCATCAGGATAATTAAGTAAACTTGAATTACCTCAGTATAATAATTAAAAATAATATAGACTTCTTTATTGACGAAAACTTGATTTTATTTATTTTTCACCTTTAGTCACATTGGTCTGAAGAACATTCAATTTATAGTTATCAGATAATTAGAATAGCAATTTTTATGATGGACATTTTAACAAGTATAAATCACGTAAATCATCGAACACAAAATTTGTTAAAAACGCGAGCCCCAAAATGTCGATGTAAAATACATCGATGAATTTACAACAAAAAAAACAACAACAACAACATGGATGTTTTGAAAACATGGACATCGATGTCGCATCGCGAGTCGGCAGAGGCTGCTTCCGCGGCCAGCGGGCGGTCCTCGTGGCGGGCACTGGCGTCGGGCGCGCGGGCGGCGGGGGCGGCGAGGCGGACAGGCGCCGCCGCGAGCGTTCACCCGCAGTCCCGTTGCTTGGCGGCGGCGGCGGCGGCGGCGGTGGAGGAGGCGGCGAACCTCAGGGGCGCATGTTCTCCCGCAGCCAGGGGAGGAATGCGGCGACGCGCGTGTACACGGCCGGCTGGTCCCGGCCGCACGGCCCGCCGAACGACACCACGCCCACCAGCTGCGGGCAACACGCGGCTCAGCGGCCTTTCGGCAACAGGCAATCGCTCGCCAGTACAAGTAGGAACTACTACTTCTCATGAGCAGTCGCTTCTTTTCATATGAAAAAAAAAGGTTCGTTAAACATGGAGCATTTGCTTCTCTTTTTTGAGCTATTGCTCATTAACTGATCTGATGCGATTGGCGCACACCAAGGTCTTACCCCGCACACAGAGGGCGATATTAATAAAAATGAGTGAGTACTCCAGAGCAATTCCTCAGGAGTACAAGTAGAAACTACTACATCTCATGAGCAGTTGCTTCTTTTCATATGAATAAAAAGGTTCGTGTAAGTTTTGAGTTATTGCTCATTAACTGATCTGTTGCGATTGGCGCACTGTTGCTGCTGCGCACACCAAGGTCTTACATGCGCACACAGAGGGCGATATTAATAAAAATGAGTGAGTACTCCAGAGCAATTTCTCACGAGTACAAGTAGAAACTACTTCTTCTCATGAGCAGTTGCTTCTTTTCATATGAATAAAAAGAGTCGTGAAACTTGGAGCATTTCTTACTCTCTTGAGTAATTGCTCATTAGATGATCTGTTGCGATTGGTCGATTTCCGTCGGTTTTTTCAACTACGTCACCGCGCAATGCTTGTTCATAATGATATCGACCATGTTAGATTAAATAGGACAGTTGACTGTCCATTGTTGGCAAAATCTTAGGAAGTCTTCCCACATTCATTCATTCATTCATTCATTCATTCATTCATTCACTCACTCACTCACTACCGAAAACTTCACAACTATCTCACAACAGTCGTGTATAACCTCTCATCTGTACATTCAATACGATTTGACCCAGCTACAGGGATTGCTCTAAACGTTCAAAGTTCGATGCTTTGCACTAGAAGCAAATTCTCGATTTTATTCATACGAAAATAAGCAATTGCTCCTCTGCCGAGCAGTAACTCACCAATGAAGAAATTGCTCAAAATAAGAGCAATTATTCAGGTTCTTCATTCATACTGTTTGAAGCATTTGCTTTGAAAACTCGAGACAGAAGTAGTAGCTCATTTTTGTTCTTTTCACTCAGTAAGGCGCATCGCCTGGGATGCGGAGGTCGAAAAAGTATTAGCGTTTTCTACAGCTACGAATTTCTTGTCGCTCTATTTTACCATACACAGCTGAATTATGAATAAAAGATTACGATCGTTCTTGGAGGCATTGGATTACAATAATTATTGCTTCGGTATAATATCAACTACTTGGATCGGGAAAGAGGATATACAAATACATTTCACTTGATAGTACTGTCGACGAAATTACTATCCTTCCCACTATCTCGTACCTGACAAAATGAGAGCTCAAGAAAACGTGCGTGGGTTATAATGGTTAGTGGACAGAGGATGGTAACAACAGGTTTGAGGCGTAAGATGCATTGCTTTGGATAGGGTGGGTGCTCTAAAAATATACTAGTTATGACAAGTACACGTGCAAGAGTAAATAAATACTGGTAAAAAATTTCAGGTAGCTCATGTTAGCTCATGTTAACTCATGTTAACTCATGTTAAGTGTATTTTAACGTATAAGGCGGGACATTAGATTACTATGTCTACAGAAGTTCATTAAAATATTTAAACAAATTTTCTCAAGAATTAGCTAGTAGTAGTCTTAGTGCTAATCGCCTGGGAAAAATGCTCTTACAACAGGTCAGCGCATAAGAGTAAGCACAGCAAGATGCACCCCTTCCGATATTATGTGTTCATAAAGCATACGATTTCGTGGAAAGTTCGAAAAGTCCAGCCACTCAAGACACTGCCTCTGTCCGGGACGCCTCAGGGCTCGAGCTCCGACGGTGACAGGATTTTCGACTCTAGATAGCTAGGTCGACACTAGATAGCTGAGGCGAAAACATCCTAGAAGAGAATTATTCGAAACAACTGCTCTGATCGGTATTTTTCCATGGTTTCTCCGATCAATACCAGTCTAATCCCGGAGCAGTACCCAAACTAACGGCCCATGGATCACCCGCGAACTTTCCTTCCTCTTCCTTGTCCTACTCTAATTCCTTCCTTGCACACACCAGCACACACACTAACATACACTACACTACCACACATGCCGGGAGACCAATCGGGTGCTTAGAGCTTGTCCCTGAGGGTGGTGCCCCGGTTGGGGGAGAAACTTGAGGAAAATCCTGCAAACTCGTGTAGGTCGGCGATCTTTCCATCTAGCGGGGAAGATCATCGCCACCTCCCATGGTAAAAAATGCACTACACTTACAGAACTAATGACATTCGCAGTTCACGCGGCCGAAATCACTAATCAAGCAAATACTCTCAGTAAGATAGAATTCAGAAAATTTAAAGAGGTGGTAGTGGATGATTGAGAAATATAACATGTTCGTCGCACAACTCTATACTCGTACATAATAAAGGTTCATTCATAATGAAACTTTTGAGTAAAAAAAAAAACTAACCTAAACCTAAAAGCTCGGTGTTCAGTTCTTCGATAGCGCTATTCTCGTCAGTGAGCGTGAACGCAAATGTGAACGTAGACATATGACGTAATCCTGCATGTTCGCAGGTTCTTTCTCGTTAACGATAACGTGGTCGGAGAACACTACTTTCGTGTACCGCAGCAAGATTAAAAGAACTTGTGTTTTTGTTAGATATAAACTAATGTACATTGTAAGAGCATAAATTGCTCTTTACAACCTTCACTGCTTATCATTAATGACGGCCATAGTATAGGATATAATTATCACTCAAGAATGATCCTGTCTTTTTTACGTAATGTCATTTGATGGTATATAGAATGTACGGCGAGTATTTATTTTATCGCGATCAATGAGTATGAATCTGAATGGTATACCCAGGTTTATGTTAAAGATCCATGTTTATGTGAAATCTACGTAAACGTTTGTATCGTGATATACCTTTATTCGCGGATATTAGGCAATTGTTACATGTTCGCCGCCCGAGTACACACATTTGTTGTTGCAAAGCTTGTAGTCAACGTATTTGTAATAAAAAAAGAGCACCACCACATTCAGTCCATCAGTGTGCAATTGCTAGAAGAAAACAATATTCCGTATGAAAATTGAAAGTTTTTAAAGACCATATTGAGAAAAAAACTCGCAATAGTGTATTTAAATTAAATTCTACAGAAACTATTGATATATCGTTATAATGTGATGAGTTCAATGTTTTTGTGGTAATAATATTATGGTCACATTATATTGCTTTAAATGTAAATGCTAATGAAAATCGTGATATATTAATCAATGGGTATACTGCTAATTTTGCACATCTGGAATATGATTCGGATTATATAGTATTTGTCGAGAACCAGCAGTATTTCGCCAAATATTCTCGAGTTTTTTAATTTTATTATCCATTCCGAGATCAGAAAACGGTGTGTCCAATCAAGTTAGTATGCTTTGATGGTATTCTGGGCCAAGTTTACGAGGCATTTCATGTCTAACTTGCTCATAAAATAAAGCTACAATAAAGCAATGAGAATAATATGTTTCATTTAAAAAGTCTATCTTTCAGTTCTAGAACATTTGTCATGAATGAATTCCTTACTTTTTCTGCACTTCTAATGTTTTCTGAATGTAGCTTCACTATGCGCACGTTTTGTTGAACTCTCCTTTTGCTTGTAATGGTAAGAGTAGAGGTAAAGGCGAGTTACTATTTTGTTAGCAATGCAGAAAAATCATACTTGCAATTCGTGTACCGATGCAAATAAGTTTTCTACAACTCAGAAACGAAAATTACTATTTTCAAGTATTGCTAATCTTCCGATTTTTAAAATGCATTTTTATTTTTTTATGTTAAACTTTTACTCATTTTTCAACTATTTATAGTTAAAATGACGGGAAGGGAACTCAGGAAAATGTGTGCAGATAATTTTTCCCCCCACGTCACATAGAGTTTTTACTGTTTTTTGACTGAATAAATATAAATCGAAATTTATTTTGTAACATCCGCTCTCTGCAACGCAACCTTAGAAATATCCTCCTAAATAGTTTGTGTTGGCCACGTGCAGAAGTTTGTGCGCTACTTGAGCATTTAAGGGAAATAAAGAAGAAATGAAACAATGAGGAAACGGCCGAGGAGCTGCTTATCCAGGGTCATATTAATACGATAAATGAAGCAAATCGGCCCCGGTGACAGGAATGAATGAGGAAAGAAAACCAAAGCAAACAGTGAAAACCAGTTTTAGGGGAATGCGATTCCTGGAAAGATCCAGAACGCAGTGGCAATTATATATGGAAAGGATAATTGGATGCAAAGGAAGATTAATGTGAAAAAAGAATGTCGACTGAAACCTGGTAGAGAAATGGGGGAATGATCCTAGTGTTTTATACCAAGAAGAGGCAAATTACGAAGATAATGCTTTATTAAAAAGGAAAATAAGAAGTATAGATAGAAAGAACGCAATACGAACCATACATTCAGAATGTTGGCGCTCAGCTTACGACCCTAATGTCTTAAATTGAATAACCTTTTTTTGCAGGCCTATTTAAGCGTGTATATGGTATTTTATTTACTATTTATTTAATGTCAAAAACAGAAAAATTGTGTGATGTTTTATGGGGGAAAATGCAATCTGTGGACTTTTCTTGAGTTTTAAAATCCCTTCTCTAACGCATATACATATTAAGCTAATTATAAATTCAGATATCAATGATGTTTTGCTAAATTGATAATAAAATATTTGCTCAATTTCAATAAAAACTACTTGCAAAGGCAAATAAGATTTAGACTTTGGCTATTATCCCTTATCGTGCCCTATGTGATGGAATCGTGCCAAAACATGGAGATCGATTATTTCAATCACTTAATTTTTTTCATTGAGTTCAAGAAAACGTGCGCAAATAGTGACGTTTCTGCCCAGAAGCGAACCAAGGCGCCACCTAATAATTTGCTTAAAAAATCAGGGAAACTGAACACAAATATTGATCGAATGGGGTCATTGACACAGATGCTGAGGTTCAATACTTATTAC